GGCCGAGGGGACCCGGGGGCCGGGCAGCTCGACTTCGCCGAGCGCGGCAGGCGGCGCCCGAGCCTGGGCGGGTGTGTTGGCCTCTGGGCTGACACCGGGCGGCGGCCGCAGGGCAGGGTGCACCCCTGCCCAGGGTCCAGGCCTTGGGTTCTTGTTGCAGCTGTCCAGGGAACCGACGGGCAGCCGGCGGCTCTGGGCTACAGTGGCACCGCGTGTGTGCTGCCGAGGGGACCACTTTTCTCCTTCCTTGCCCTGTCTGGGCCCTGAGTATCACACTGTAACTTTGTGGTGGTGCCGCCCGGGATGGGGATCCCGCCCCCAGCCTGGGCCACATCGCTCCCAGCCTCTCTTCACCATGTGCCCGGGCGTCTGTTGCTGCCTGTGAGGCTGTACTGTGGGTGTTACTTGTTGCTGTGTGTACATGCTGGGTGACAGTACCATGTGTCAGTGTTTATGTGGCTGTGATTCCCGGGGCAGCAAGGCACGTGGTTTTGTTCCCGGCTGTTTGGTCACCTGAGTGGGGTGCCCACGCTGCCGTATCTCGTGGGAGGAGCAGGTGGGGGCTGTCCCCTGACCCCAACAGATGCCAGTGCTGTCACAGTGTCGGGCTGACATGTGTGTTTGTCTCCCTGGACTACAGGTGTGTGTCTGTGGTGTCAGTGGGATTGTCTCTTCCAAACTCACAGGTGTTGGGTGTGGCGGGAGGTGACCATGGTGGACTTTCTTGGGTGGGTCTTACTCTGTGGACAGGCCTCAGAGTGTGCACGTGACATCGTATTTGTGTCTCGTGACCTTCACCAGGGCTGCGTGTGTATGTGTGGTGGGGGATTGTACTCAGTGGAGGTTTGGTATTGGCTTGTGAGGGTTGAAACTCCTATGTTGGCCTTTTCTTAAAATCTGTCGCATTGTGAGATGGTGTTTGTTGTGGCTGTTACACAGTGTACATGTGACCCTGGCGGGGAAAGGGGTTTGTAGCTGGGGACAGGGGGCTCTATGTTTGTTTTCCTGAACACCTGCCTGTCCTTGGGAGTGTGCGGCAGTGCGTTTCAGACAGCAGAGTGGTTTTGTGGTGTTTATGTAACATTGTGTACAGATCTACATAGGTGTAGGTGTGGGTTTGTGTTTACGTGTCTTTTGTGGTACATGGACCTGTGTGTGAGTGGGTGTGCTATTGTATAACTCAGGACTCCAACATTTATATTTGTGTGTTAGTGTGTATCTCTGAGAATCACAGCGCACAGATCCCATTGATTTGTGTGTGTGTGCGCTTCTTTCTTAATACAGAGTGTATGCATGATGCACTGACTGTTTAAATATTAGTATACAAGCCTCTGTGTGTGAGCAGGAGAGGGAGAGAGCCTGTGTGCGCACATGGTGTGTGTGTGTGTGTGTGTGTGTTTCCTAGTGCACAACCTCCTGGCACATGTCTGTGAGCTCAGGCAGTGCCCCCACTGGGCAGCAGAAACTGCCTGAGTTGAGCCTTGGAAGGGCTGGGGGAGGGGCCCCATCCTGGAGACTCTGGGGGCTTCCCAGCCCCAGCCCCTAGCCCCTGCCAGTCACCAGCCAGCAGGGATGCCGCCTTCCAGGCAGGCTTGTAGGAAGTTGGTGCTGGAGAGGCCCGTGCTGCCAGGGAGCTGGCAGACACTGGATTAACCCTATGTGCGCCCTGGCTAGCCTCGGGATGGCTTGGGTCCGATGTGAGACAGTGTGTGTGAGCTCATGTGTAGGCACAGTGGGCATCTCCTTACCTAGAGAGCCTCTAGCCCACCCTGCCTGGCGGGGGGGTTGACTGGCTAGCTTCCAGGAGAGTTGGGTGGAACTGCAGATTCTTCTCTCCTCCTGGCTGGGCTTATCTCTAGAGCTGGGACCGGGGGCTCTGGTCTGTGTGCTGATCCAGGCACTGCAGGCCTGCAGTGCATGGGGGAGATCTGGCTCTCCCCAGGGCAGCAGCTTCCTCCCCCAGGGGAGGGGTGGGCTGCCCAGGCCCCAGGACCTGGGCTGAGGACTCACCTCCCTGGACAGCTGCTCAAAGCATGGGCTGTGTTGCCCAGAACCCACTCCCACACTGCACCCTCCTCGCCTCCTGCTCCCTGGTACCTTGATAGCTGGTCAGGGCTGGGTGGGGACCCTATCCGCTGGGCATGGTCAACTGGGCCACCTCAGGACTGACCTCGATCTCCCCACCTCTGTTGCAGAACACCGATCTGTTTGCGATGATTGAAAAGATGCAGGTGAGGAGTTACAGAAAGAAGTCTGTTCTGGGGAGCCACAGAGCTCCTTGGGCTGGCGGTGGGGGCCCTCTCAAACCTTTCAGCCTCGTATCTCCCTGAGGACAGGCTGGGAGCCTTCAGTAGACCGTGCCAGGACACGAGGGTGGTAGCTGGCAGTTAAGAGTCCTCTGTCTGGAGGAGACTGGTAGTGCCCAGCCTCTCCTCTGACCTGGAGACCCATCCAGGCTCCAGCTCCCATCCCTGTGTAGGTCCCAGTAGAGCTGCGGTCAGCTCAACTCACCCCCAGACCCACACACCATTCCCACCCAATGAGAAGCATTGCAGGCGCTGCAGGACCCTCTTGCGGAATGGAGGTGGGAGAGATGCCAGGCGCCTAGAGGCTGTGCTGCAGGTGGGGGAGGTGTTAATGAGCCAGGCAGCCCAGGGTGCAGCCCTGCCGCAGCCTCACCCTGGCCCCTCCCCACCCCAGCCCCGCTCTCACAGGCCCTTGGCTGTGTGCTGCATGGGTATGTGTCAGGAGGCGGGCAGGAGCGTAGCGGGGTGGGGGTCTTTCACTGATGTCAGCTCACCCTCCCCAGCCCTGCTCTCGCTGCCCCCCTTCCTCTTTCTCTCTCAGCCTTTCATCCCCCATCCCCCTCTCGCATATCTGCATTGATGCAGTCGCCCCCTCCCCACATGCCTTGCACAAGCAGGCGCGCACACCACCCCTGCCCCCACTCCCAGCAGCATGTGCGTCCCGTACAGAACCCCCAGCCGCTCCCTGCTGCTGAGGGCCAGGACTGGGGCCCTCCAGAGAGGCCTGAGGAATGAGGCACGCAGCGCCCTGCCTGAGGAGCACCCCCACACTGGCGGGCCCTCCTTGTGCTTTCCCTTCTGCTCCGCAGGGGTGCAAGGCTCTGTCGGGAGGGCACATGGCGGCAGGCCGGGGAGGGTGTAACGGTGTGTTGCTTTCTCTTGCAGGGAAGCAGGATGGATGAACAGCGATGCTCCTTCCCACCTCCCCTCAAAGTAGGTGGGCCAGGCCTGGCTGCTGGAGCAGACTCGTGCTGGTGGGGGGCAGGGTCAGGGCAGTGCCACAGCTGTCTGTCTGAAGGAGTCCTCCTCTGTGCCAGCTGCCAGCCTTTGTGAGCAGGGCACCCAGGTCCCTGCTCCAGGAGCTTCGAGACTCCCTGCCGTACCCAGGCCTCAGGGCAGCTTCTCCCTGCCTGCACCACTATACTTGCCCCTTGCTCCAGGCCTTATACCTCAGGCATTTTCCCTGGGACCTGTGTCCTCAGCAGGAAGGCTCCCGCCGGGACCTTGGCAGGGAATGGCCTCCTGCTCCTGAAGTTCCTGTCCAGGGCAGGGGATATGCACAGATCCCCCAGATGAGTACATGGTTGCTGGTGACTCAGGACCCCAGCAGATTAGCAGCTGGCCCTGGGAGAATGGGCCCAGAGCAGAAGAGGTTTCCTGCTGTGTCCAGGTCAGGGTTCTCAGTGTGTTCTTAAGACAGCAGTGTTGGGGCCACCTGGGGACTTCTTAGCCGCTGGCAGTTGAGGAGGGTACTAGACCACTGCATTAGAAATTGGGTGAGGAGCAGTCTCTAACAAGCCCCCAGGTGGCCCGGAGGGGCAGCAGTGAGCCTCCGTTCTGCAGGCTGAGAGCACTCCAAAGATGCCAGCACAGCAAGCTTAGCCTGCTCCTGCCCAGCCTCGTAGGGGGCACTCTGGGCCAATCCCCTGCTTCATGTAGAAGTTGAGGGCTGAGGCCATGGCCCTATCCCCACCCCCAGCCCCCAGGGTTGGCTGAACAGTGTGTGCTAGGGAGCCTGGTAGGTGTGGAGGGTGAGGCGCCCACCCCAGCTGAGCCTCTGTCTGCTTGTATTTTGCAGACGGAGGAAGACTACATTCCCTACCCGAGTGTCCACGAGGTACCCAGTTGGATTCTGAGCCCACCCTTCCCTTCGTCCTGGGGAGGTCCTCATGCAGGCCATCTGGACACCCAGGTCCTCCTCCCTCCCAGAAGGCTGACTGCAGGCTTTGCCTGGGGGGCTGGAGGCTCAGTTTTCAGACCAAGACTTCAGAGCCTGCTGGAGCCCTTAGACGTTCTGAGCCAAATGTCAGCCTCTTGGGCAGGCTGGTGCTCCCAGCTCTCCTGCTTGCCTGCCCCTGTCTGTTGAGGCTGGGGCAAGGGATAGTGAGGCTGGGTCTGGGGGAAAGGGCTGCAGCACGGAGGTAACTGTGAACTTTAGGGACAACACAGTGCTAGGTTGTCCTGTGGTACTCCTTAGCCATGGCAGAAGGGACCCCGGGACCCCGGTCTGAGTTGGAGGATGTCCTGGGGTCCCTAGTGGGGTGCTGTATGGAATAACTTTCAGCCAAGCCCCACTTCAGGTCCTAGGGCGAGAAGGGCCCTTCCCCCTCATCCTGCTGCCCCAGTTTGGGGGCTACTGGATCGAAGGCACCAACCACGAAATCACCAGCATTCCTGAGACAGAACCGCTGCAGTCGCCCACGACCAAGGTGAAGCTCGAGTGCAACCCCACGGCCCGCATCTACCGGAAGCACTTTCTTGGCAAGGTGGGTGGCTGGCTGCAGGGGGTGGTGGGTAACAATACAGCCTCCTGGGAGATAGCAGAACTCTTGGGCAGCGCTGAGTCCCAGAGCCCCAACTCTCACTCCAGGAACCATGGGTGTATTCACTCACTCATTCAACAGACATTCATTGCAAAGGCAGTAGGGTACCGTCACAGTTAACTGCAGAAACTGCCAGCTTGAGTCCGGGCTTAGCCACTCACCACATGGGACATCAGGCACGTTGCTTGACTTTGGTGTGCCTCGGTTTCCACTTCTGAAGAAATGGCGATAGCAACACCCTTTCTGAGGTTGCTACAGGGCTTTAATGAGACCATGCTTGTAAGATGTTTGGAATGGCATCTCTAGCGGGGTAGTTGCTTATCAGGGTGAGCAAATAGTGAGCTCCCGTTGTCTTCAGCTGCCCTTTACTAGGTAGCAGATATACACAGCAGTAAACAAAATGGACCCAGGCGGGCCGTTGGGCAGCTTGGGATGGGGGCTGGGAGGACACAGGCATGTGACATCTTGACCTGGACTGATGTAACCACAGCCCTGCAGCAGAGACCCTGCCTAGTAAGAGCTCGAAAGATCATCACCCAAGGGTATTCCCAAGAATTAATGGGGGAGGCTGTGGGAGCTGGAGGGGAAGTTCCATGCCAGGAGCTGTCTGTATCATTGACAACCAAAGTGGGGGAGAGTACCATGGTTTTGGGAGCCTTGTGTCCTGGGTGTGAATCTAGGCTCTCCCTTCTAGTGACAATGGTATGCTGGGCAAGTTATGTCACTGAGCCTGCTTCCTCATCTGTCAAACTGGGGGCACTGAAAGAACACGTAAAGCATGTAGAACATAGTACATACACGGTTAGCCATAGCTGTCCTCCCGTCTTCATAATCCCTCCATGAGAGCAAGATCACCCTGCATTCACCAAAGAAGAAACTGAAGCACAGAGAAGTGAAGTGAGTCAGTCAAGGTCACAGTTACTGAGCCTGGGTTTGAACCAGCTCTGGCTGACCTTCCGTTAAAACATACTGTGGATGCTTTGTGTGGTGGGGCACACCTGTATTCCCAGTACTCGGGAGGCTGAGGCAGGAGGATCACCTTGAGTTTGAGGCCAGCCTGGGCTACACAGCAAGACCCTGTCTCAAAAAAATGAAAACATGCTGTGGGAAGGTTGGGTTGTGTGCGTGTGTGTGTGTGTGTGTGTGTGTGTGTGTGTGTGTGTTGGGAGGGTTGGGTGGCTCCCTGTGGGGTCGGGAAGCTGTATGGCCTGACCCTAGGAAACACTAATGCCAACTGGGGTTGGGGGCTCCATTGTGGTGGGGACTAAGCCATCCTCCCACTATACACACATTAACCCATCCAGGTTCAGGAGCCATTGCCTGGGGACAAGCACAAGCATGACCTACAATCCCATCTCCTGGCTGAGCCCTGAGTGTGTGTCCCAGGCACCCACTGTCCAGAGGCTCACTGTGGTCTGGCAGGTGGTGGGCTCCCAGGGACCATGTGTGCCCAGAGAAGTTTGCTACAGGAGTGATGAGTGACATGGAGTGGTAGGCCTTGAGCACAGCAGAATTTGAGGAGGTACAGGTTGAGGGGTCGGAGGAGACATGACCAGGGTCAGGTTGGTGGACAGAGGAAAGGGGCCCCCAGCAGCTGGCAGAGAGCAGGGCCATTTGCCAACTCCAGGTGGGGTGCCCAGGGAGGCTGTTGGGCTCCGTTCTGGCAGCAGGAGGAAGCGAGAGTGACTTTGGGGATTGACATCCTGGGATCCCGAGCCCATCCTGCTGCATCCTTTGGGATCCTTTGGACTTGAGGGGATGGTCCAGGGAAACTTTCCAGGCCCTGGACTTCTTCCTAAATGCTTGCCACTCCTCTGTAGGCAGTGCTAAGTACTTGGGGTTTCTGCCTCTGTGTGCCCAGGCAGGCCTGCGGAACTGTCCGTCCCAGGTCCGCTCAGAGTGCCCCTGAGCTCTTGGTTTGCGGGCACATCCTCTGGCCCCCACCTCTTCTTCTGGCTGCAGCCTTTGAGCACAGGTGTTCATGTTTAAACAGGATTTGCTTCCAGGGTGGTTCCCAGGATGGTCATGGCTGAAGGGCCAGCTCTGCTTCCAGGGCTGGGACCAGCAGAGGGAGCCCGGGCTCAGGCTGGGGCGGCATCTCCTTGCATTTTAACCCTTGGCTTTGAGACTTCCCTGGCTGGAGGTGCCAGGCCTGGGTTCCCATCTGCAGGTGCTGTCCTTGCCACAGCCACCCTGTAGGCCTTGTAGAGTGCCTCTTCACAGCCCTTGCCCTCTTCTCCAGGTGAAGCAGGAGGGTGGGAACCTGCCTGGTCGGTGCCCTGTGTGCTACTAGATGCTTCACTTCCTGTTTTCCACAAGCCCGGGCTTCAGAGGCCACGGAGCCACAGCTTGGGCAGTCAGCTGGTCAGCTCACAGTCTGTCTGTCTCTCTTTCTCTTCTATGTACTGGGGCTTGAACCCAGAGCCTCGCACATGCTGGTTGATCTTTTCTTATTGAGCACCTATTGTGCATCACATCTGAGGGGGCAGAGGCCAGGAGACGGCTCTGCAGGTATACGTGTGGCCCTGACTTTGCTGAGGAGGAGAGAGCCAAGGTTCCTAGAGACACTTACCAAACACTTTCCCTTTTTCAGTGTCTGCCACCGTCGAGGTAGGTGTCCTCACTCCCATTTCATAGACTAGGAGAATGAGGCACAGAGAGAGAAGGTGCCCTTCCTAAGCTGCCCTGCTGGGAAGCGGTAGATCTACCTGATGCAGAGCCTGGACACTTGCTCCTTGGCAAAGGACCCAGTCTAGTGGTGAGCTGGGTTTCTGGTTTTTAGAAACCCCAAGCTCAGTCTCACTCTTCTTCCTGCCACACCACACAGGAGCATTTCAATTACTACTCACTGGACACTGCCCTCGGCCACCTGGTCTTCTCACTCAAGTATGATGTCATCGGGGATCAGGAGCACCTGCGGCTGCTGCTCAGGTGAGGGCAGTGTCAGGGAGGCCCCAGGACGGGAAGGGGTACTGAGGTCTAAACTCTGAGCGCCCCCCTCATTTTACCCACTTTCTATATTGAGACCTGGGGAGGAGTCGTCACACAGCAAGTGAGTGCCTCTGCAGGCCCTGGTGCCCATTGCCACCTTTGGCCCTCCTTTGGTCTGCCCCCTCTGGTCTTTTTGTGTAAGGGCCCCTCTCCCCTCTCCTACTGCCCAGCCCCTCACTGTGGGTTTCTCCTCGCAGGACTAAGTGCCGGACGTACCATGATGTCATCCCCATCTCCTGCCTCACCGAGTTTCCCAATGTGGTCCAGATGGCCAAGGTGAGGCATCAGGCCCCCTAGCTCTTGGTGCTGGGTGCCCTGGGGGGCTGGGGGCTGTCGCTTGGCCCCAGCACACCCTCGGCTGCAGTTGCGAGCCTGCGTCCTGTGCCCCATCTCTGCGGCCCTACCGGCCACTCGTTCCCTCTGTGTGCGCATGCCCAGGGCACCTGTTCCCCCTCTCCCCCTGTGTCCTTTGATGCTCTATAGCACCTCAGACCCCGGGGACCCGAGTTCTCTGAGCTCCATTCTGAGCAGTAGCCTCCAGTGTCCTCAGCAGAGCCTGGCCTCCTGGCTGCTGTCTGCCAGACTTGGCCATTGAGGCCAGAGCCCCCTCCTGTCTCCTTGCCCGCCTCACGGCCTCTGTGGTCTCCTCTCACAGCTGGTGTGTGAAGATGTCAATGTGGATCGATTCTACCCTGTGCTCTACCCCAAGGTATAACCGGCTAGGGGCCCTGCTTGCTGAGGGTGGTTGGGTAACTGTAAGACCGAGCACGTATTGGGCGCCTGCTGTGTGCCAAGTATTTTCCGTTAGTCTCTCCTTGGTCCTCACAATAACCCTGCCAAGTCCACAGTCTGCAGAAGAGGAAGCGCAGAGAGGTTCTAGAGATGCACAGCAGATAAGGAGGCCTGCATTTATACCCAGGGGTGTCTTCCCTGCAGGCAGGCCTCTTCAGGTCTGGAAGCTCAGTGCTGCCTGGGGATCTTCCCAAGGCGGCCTGTGCTCCAGACCTTCCCTGGGTCACGTCTCTTTCCACTGGCCTTGCCTTGTTTCCTCAGAAGGGACCTGGGGAAAAAGCATAACATGGACACCCCCATAAGTGCTTCCCTTCCAGCCCTGGTGCTGCCTGCTGGCTCCAGTGTGGGACTAGAGGGGCTTCTCTCTCCAACCAGCCAGGGGTGCTTCCTGGAAGCGGTGGTCCCTGAAAGACGCATAAGCCCTTGTGGCCCTTGGCTGAAATCTGGAGTAGAGTGAAGTTTCTGAGCGGTGTTTGGAACCAGGAAAGGTGTTCGGAAGGAAGAGTCCCTCAGAAGTCAGGACCCACCTCTTGAATACAGAGGGAAAGCCAAGTTCCTGGGGGCCTGGGAGGGAGGTTCCTAGAGGCCTGCTTGAGGTTCCTCAGCAAGTTGGAGAGGCTCGACTGATCTGCAGTGAAATGGGTGTGCCGAGCAGTGAGCTGGGTGTTAGACTGGAGTGGGGGGTAACCTCAGCCATGGCAGGCCAGGGGCTCAGGGCCAACTCAGAAACCCAGGAGATCTGGGTTGTGCCCCCACCCTGCAGACACTTGCAGGCCGGTGACCTGAGGCAGGTTGCTGAAGCGCTGTGCACCCAAGCTGCAGAGGGGCCAGCGGAGTATCTCCCCGTCCCTGTCGGGCTTGCTTTGAGGATCGGGTATGATCCGTGCAGTGCTGGGCACATGGGGGAGAGCTCGGTGAACGGCAGTGTGCAGTGCAGTGTCCCCCCTGCCCCTTGCTGTCCCACAGGCTTCCCGGCTCATCGTCACCTTTGATGAACATGTTATCAGCAATAACTTCAAGTTTGGAGTCATTTATCAGAAGCTTGGACAGGTGTGCTCCTCCCCACCCTGCTTCTGCCCCACCTCGCCCTCTGCCTGGTACTCAGCCTTCACAGGGCAGAGCGCCTGCCAGGGCACTCAGTTTCCCACTCGCCCTGGGGCCTCCCTGGGAACAGCTGAGCAGCAGCCTCTGCTGTTCCCAGCGCAGCCTGTCCTCCTTTCTGCTGCTGTCCCCCAGACTTGGCCGTTGAGGGCATGGTAGGGGTGCTCAGGAGCTGCAGCTCCATGGCTGTGATGGTGACCGCACCCCTGTGTGGTCCCCAGACCTCCGAGGAAGAGCTCTTCAGCACCAATGAGGAAAGCCCTGCCTTCGTGGAGTTCCTTGAATTTCTGGGCCAGAAGGTCAAACTGCAGGACTTCAAGGGGTGAGTCTTCGGGTGGGAGAGCAGAGCTAGTCTGACCCGGGCCCCTTGGCAGGGGCAGCCCTGTCCTGGCCCCACAGAGGCCTGGCTGGGGCTGGAGACTGAGCCGTGGCCTGGGGGCCCTGGGGCAGGTTCCGAGGAGGCCTGGACGTGACCCACGGGCAGACGGGGACCGAGTCTGTGTACTGCAACTTCCGCAACAAGGAGATCATGTTTCACGTGTCCACCAAGCTGCCCTACACAGAAGGGGACGCCCAGCAGGTAGCCTGGGCACCCATCTATCCGCCTCCCACTGTCCACCTCTGCCCCCACCTGCTCGTCCAGTGTCCATCATGCCAAGCTCAGTGCCAGGCCCTGCGATGCAGGCACGGAAATGACCCAGTCCCTCCAGGTGGGGGCAGGGGAGAGAGGCTGCTGCGGTGCCAGGAAAGCCTCCACTTCCACATCTGCGAAATGGGGATAGCAATGGCACTTCCCTGGTAGGTGAGCATAAGGGAGGGGACACATACTAAGTGACTAGAATCAGGTCTGGGAGACAGCAAGGGTCCAGTAAAGCTGAGCTTAGTACTTCTGTGGGGAGCAAGGGTGCTAAGGGGTCACATGGGGGCACTGAGACTTGGCAGACGTGGGAGTCAAGAAGTGTTCAGAATCAAGTGACTTTGACTGCATGGGGGCTCAGAGAAGGAGGCAGAGAGCAGCTCCTGCACAGGCCTCGAGTTGGGAGGTGAACGAAAAACGCTCACACCTTGTCCCGGGCTTCCCGCACCTGTCCGCTCCCCCCGCTGATGTGAGAAGAGGGGAAGCAGTTGCTCCTTACTTTTAGTGGTTTTTTTCTTTTCTCTTCCTTTTAGCAGCATGAGTGCATAGAGAGTCGAGCTTGTCTGTTCAGTGAAGGCTCATGTTTGGGGGATCTAGCTAGGACAAGGGCAGAAAGGCAGGGCCAGGAAACCGGGAGACCTGGGTTGGAGTACCCAAGCCCACTGTAGGCAGTCACTTCTCTGTCGGCTTTGATGTTCTCTTCTGTCACAGTTACCAAGAAAATGAAAATAATACGTTCTTACCACGTTTTTTGAGGGGGCTGCAAATCCTTAGATGTGTGCTCTGCCCCACCCCCAAGCCCTCCCACCCTCTGGCTGCTGCTTCCCGACCCCGGCCAGGCTGTGAAGGCCCGCGGTGGCCCTGTGCTCAGTTGCAGCGGAAGAGGCACATCGGGAACGACATCGTCGCCGTGGTCTTCCAGGACGAGAACACACCCTTTGTGCCGGACATGATCGCGTCCAACTTCCTGCACGCCTACGTGGTAGTGCAGGCCGAGGGGGGCGGCCCCGACGGGCCCTTCTACAAGGTGGGTGACCTCAGAGACCCTTGCAGGGGCCAGCAGCGCCCCAGGCCTGGCGCTGCCTCACTGGCAGGCCTCTGTGAGCCTCAGCGCGCCCCACTTAGGTGGGGTGACTATGGAGGAATGGGAGCCTCTTGCTCCCAAGTGTTTACCCCTCCACCTCCTTTACCTTCACGGTCCTCTGTGATCCTGAGGTCCCCACTTGGCCCCACCTTTCAAATACAGGGCAGAGGTGGAGGAGCTAAAATTTGGGGGACAAAGATGTCCCCACCCAGCAGCCACAGAGCCTCGCTGATGCAGTGGCGGGACTAGAGGCAAATTAGCGCTTCCTGGCTGCGTATGAGCAGGCCCCAGACTCCACAGGGACAGCTGTCCTCCTTTCCAGGTCTCGGTCACCGCGAGAGATGACGTGCCCTTCTTTGGGCCCCCTCTGCCGGACCCTGCTGTGTTCAGGAAGGTGAGAGGCTGCCCCCAGCCCTGGCATGGTCAGGGCAAGACTGAACGGTAGGGGAGTGGGGCAGGGCACACAGTCTATCTCCTGAGGCCCTGAAGCCCTGTGCAACTGTGGCCTGGCTTTTCATTTTGATCAAAACTTGGTTTTGTTTTGTTTTTGAGACAAGGTGTCACTGTGTACTCCAGACTGGCCTTGAACTTGCTTAAGTAAAGCCCAGGTTCTTGAACTCATGGCAATCCTCCTGTCTCAGCCTCCTCAATTTTTTTTAAAAATAAGGTCACAGAATAATAGACTGCATTTCTCATAGCAGACAGTGACCTTTCCTTATTTGTGCTCTTTTCTAACAGTCTTCTTTCCTCTGAAATGTTTGGGGAGAGGCAGGCACGCGTCTCTGTCACCTCTTAGAAACCACCCTGCTTCGTGTGCTCTGCTACCCCAGGATGAGGCAATAGGAGATCACCCTGACCTAACACGTGTGGGGTTTGCTCCTCTGAAGGGTGGGCAGCCATGAAAGGCCACAGGGTCCCTGACAGGTGCCAGGGCTGAGATCTGAGCCCCAGAGATGCCCTTCTGGGAGGGTCAGGTGACCCCCAGGCCCCAGGAGGGCACAGCTCAGGAGCTCAGTCCAGGCCCATCTCGCTCAGGCCCTTGCTCCTCCTCCCTCTGACTCCCCTTTCTCGTCTCCTCCACGCGGGGGGCTCCCAGGGGCCTGAGTTCCAGGAATTTTTGCTGACAAAGCTGATCAATGCTGAATATGCTTGCTACAAGGCAGAGAAGTTTGCCAAGCTGGAGGTGAGGATGGGCCTTTGGGGCTGTCTTCCCCCTTCTGGTTTAGAATTTCCTTCCTGCCCCCACCCTGCAGGGAAAGGCTCAGTCAGACTTTGGCCTTGTGGGGGGCTAACAGTGTAACAGTGTGTGTGTGTGTGTGTGTGTGTGTGTGTGTAGATGCTGGATGGGAGCACCACTTTGATCAAGGGAGAGAAAGCAGGACAGAGCCCAGAGGGCTAGGAGGTGGGCAGGCTGATGGTGTGCTTGGGGGGATTTGGGGCCTGGGGACAGGAAGCAGGATCTTCCTGAGGAGCCCCGGGGACTGCTTGACCTGCAGAGCAGACTGAATGAAGCCAGGGGCTGGGCCCTTTCCACTTCCTACTGACTGGGAGGAAGTGGCCCTCAACTCGAGGGGAATCAAGGTACCAGGGTGCGAACTGAGGGAGGCGGGGTTGATCACCGGGCTCTCTCCTGATGGCCGGCCCACAGGAGCGGACCCGTGCTGCCCTCCTGGAGACGCTGTATGAGGAACTCCACATCCACAGCCAGTCCATGATGGGCCTGGGCGGTGACGAGGACAAGATGGAAAACGGAGGTGGCGGAGGCGGTTTCTTTGAGTCTTTCAAGGTGAAGGTTCCCCCGGGGTCTCCTGGGCAGGGAGGGGGCGCAGGGACAAGGCTCTAGTGGAGCGCGGGGCTGGGCTAATAGACAAGGTGTGGGCGTGGCCAGAGGCAGGCTCTGTGGTGGTGGTGGAGGCCTGGTGGGAGTGGCCATGGGTGAAGCTTGGGACTGACAAGATGTGGGCGTGGCCAGAGGCGAGCTTGGTTGGGGTGGAGTCGAGTGGGCGTGGTCCAGATGGACGGCTCCTACTCAGAGTTTGCTCAAGATGTAGAGGTAAGATCACCTGTGGGAGCGTAGACTTGATGATGTGGTCTGCGTTGGGTTGAGTCTGGGAGATTAAGGGTGGGCTCTAATTCGGGAGGAGTTAATGATGGAGGTGGGGCCTAAATTTAGGGCAGAGTCTACCTGGAAATTCATAAGGTTGGAGTCCTCTGGGTGGCAGCAAGGTGCTGCTGGTGTCTTGGGCTGTGGCTGGCAGGTGAGCTGGCAGAGAAGTGAGGAGAGCTCTGCCTTGACTGAGGGAAAGAAATAGAGGTCCTGGAGAGCCGAGTGTCCTTTAGAAAGTGATCTGGCCTGTGTGACCTACCCTGGCTATCCCTGGCTTAGCTTAGCGCTAAGAGCACAGTCTCCCCGGTTCACATCCCAGCTCCAACACCTACCGGTTTGGGCATGCTCTGAGCCCCAGGTCCTTTATCTGTTGAGTAGGGTAATGACCACTTATCTCATCTAATTGTTGAGCTATTTGTAAAGCAATTAGATTAGTGGAATGTAAGTTAAAAAGCAAAATGCAAAACCCTGGCTCGTCCTCCTCAGCAACAATTGTCCAAAATGAAAGGCAGAGGAGATGGAGCACCTCTTCCCCTTGGTCATGGCCTCAGTGCTTCTGCCCCACCCTCCCACAGGAGGGGGATGGCTGGTCCTATAGGTGCCCAGCTAGGCCGCTTGAGTCCCAGTCTCACCCAAGGCAGCCAGAAGGCAGGAGCTGTGGGCCTGCATAAAGGTGTCAGCCCTGCCGCACAGAAGGAGCCCTGCCTCCAGCCACTGCAGACGGGGGGGGGGGGGGGGATGTTGGGTTGGCCACAGGGCCTGAGTGTATTTTTTGAGGGGAGCTTTGGTGGTATCACATCTAGTAGGTGGCAGACAGGGGACCCCTGTTAGACTGAAGAATGTCTGAGGTAGCAGAGTCCACAGTTCAGGACCTAGGATTTGGCACATGGGTTCTAAACTTACCTCTGCCTCAGTTTCACCTCTTATAAAATGGGTATGATGACAGCCCCTGCCTTGCATGGTGGATTGAATGGCAGAGTGTACGGGAAATACCTTGCTGCATAATAAGCATCCTGAATGTGTAGATTAGTCTGAAACAGTCAGGGAATGGGGGAGAGATAGAAAAGAAAGAAAAGAAAGAAGGAAGGAAGGGAGGGAGGGGAGGGAAAAGAAAGGAAAGGGAGCTTAGACACCCTAAAAAAGAAACAGGTTTCTCGGGGCTCGCTGTGTACACACATGGTCACAACTCGGGGACTTCTGCACTCCTTAGGACGGCTGCTTGAGGAGAGGCAGGGCACGGCAGCCTGCGTGGGCCAGAGGCTCGGGGAGGCGGAGCGGCTTGCACAAGGCTGCCGGGCTGGGTCTGCCTAGGGCCACCCAGAGTGGAATTGCTGGGGAGGGACCAGGGCTCCTGGGGCTCCCCAAGGTGGGGGCGTGTGGAACCCATGCCTCCTCCACGCCCACGCTTGCCCTCACAGCGGGTCATCCGGAGCCGCAGCCAGTCCATGGATGCCATGGGGCTGAGCAACAAGAAGCCCAACACCGTATCCACCAGCCACAGCGGGAGCTTCACCCCCAACAACCCTGACCTGGCCAAGGCAGCTGGCATAGTGAGTGTCCCCTCCGCTCCCTGCCCCTCCCTGGGGCCCTCAGTGCTCCCCGCCTCCTGAGGTCTGGCCCCGCCTCTCTCCATTGTCCTGCTGTCCACATGCCCTCCCGGGCTCTGGGCTCGGCCCAGCTGCTACTCTCCGTGGGGAGTTAGGTGCCCTGGCTGGGACACTGGGTGCTGAGAGCCCCTCCCCAGTTCCGGGGTCCTCCCCTCTTCCTGGCCCCTTATCGTCAGGTGTCACTCTCTGCAGCTCAGCTCAGGGGCAGCCTCTGCGTCCCATTCCTCAATGAGTACCTACTGCCTGTTGTGTGCTGGGAACTTGGCTGCTTGTGCTGTGGGTTTCTGGGGGCACCTACTGTGTGTCAGGACCTGGGCTGCTGTGTGTGTATGCATTTCGTAAGCACCTACTGTGTGCCTGGCCCTGAGTTCCTATGAGCATCTACCGTGTGTCTGCCCCTGGGCTGATGTGTGAGCACCTACTGTGTCAGGAAATGGATCGTTGTGTGGGCATCAGCTCTGTGAGCACCAGCTATGTCCAGGCCCGGGCTGCTGTGTGAGCACCTCCTGTGTGTCAGCACCTGGGCTGCTGTGTGACTGACTACATGATATGTGCTAAGCCCTGGACATCAGTGAACACCTACTGTGTGTCAGGAAGTGCACTGCTATGTGGGCGTTTCCTCTGTAGCACCTCCTACTGTGTGTCTGCAGCAGCCAGGGCCTTTGTGCCTGTGGCTACTATCATGTGCCAGGAACCAGGCTTCTGTGTGGGCATCTCCTGAGTGAGCCCTTCTTGTGTGACCACTGACTGTCCGCCAGGTCCTGTGGGCGTCTACCCCTCCCACAGCAGGCATGCTGGGTGTGCAGGAGAAACAGGCCTGCATCATGGATTAGCTGCTTTGTGCCACCTCGTGGCCAGCCTGGACACTGCATCCACTGATGTGTTCCCTACTCAGCCAGCCACCCATCTCTCCACCCACCCATCTATCTGTCCACTCATCTATCCACCCAGCCGTCCATCTATCTACCCACCTATCCATCCACCCATTTACCCAGCCAGCTACCCATTCCTCTGCCCATCCACCCACCAATCCACCCACCGGTCCATCCACCCATCCACCAATCCATCCTCCATCCCCCCAGCAGTTCATCCATCCATTCATCCGTCCATCCTCCCACCCTGCTCCCCTCCTCCCTTTCTGAGCGACTGTCTGCTGCATGCCGCGCCCTGCACTCAGTGCTGTGAGGCTGCGTCACGTGGCAGGAGGCACCTGCACCCCGCAGCCTACCCTATGGTCTGGTGTGGCTAGGGAAGCAAGGCGAGGCCTCTGCTGTCCAGCGGTCACCACGCCCACTGTCATCTGAGGAGCTGGCCCGACCTTCCCCCAGCTGCTCCCTTCCCGCCCGCCAGAGTGGTGCAGCCTCCTGTGGGTGGCCGCAGAGGGGTCCCGGGGACGGGGCCAGGCCAGCAGCACCCACCGTGGCAGTAACCAGACCCATTTCTGTTTTTGTTTTTGCACAACTCTCCCTGTCTTTATGTTACCTCCTTTTTCTTCTGCTCTTGCATTTTCTTCCCTCCCTCTCCTCCCTCTCTTTCCCCTGACCGCTCTCTGCCTTCTTGTACCTTTTCCTTCTTTCCTCCTTCTGTACCATCCCCTCTTCCACCCTCCCCACCCTGGCTTTCCCCTCTTTCCATCTCTAATTGCAACCCTCACTCTCTGCTGTCCCTCCCCGCCTCCCCGTGTCCCCCTGTCTCCCCATGTTTCTCTTCTCCCGTCCCTGCCCTCTCACTCCTATTTGGCCCCTTTTTATCTCTCTCGTCTTTCCTTCCTTCCCTTCCTGCTGCTCTCTCTGTCTCTCTCTCGCTCTCTCTGTTCCCACCCTCTGCCGCTTGCCAGTCATTGCTTATTCCTGGGAAAAGTGCAAGTAGATTCGGACGCCGGGGCAGTGCCATAGGCATAGGAACCGTGGAAGAGGTTGTCGTCCACAGGGCCACCGGCTCTGGAGGCTGCTGCACGCGCTCTTCTCCGCTCGCTGTCAGGACGGAGGCCATATTGGGGACGTGGCCCCTTGCCCAGGACAGGCCCAGGGGCATGCAGGACAGAGTACCAGCACCTCTCTGCACCTGCTTCGGGGCCTGGCACCTGAACTAGAGCCAGTGGCCCTTGCCAGGGGCTTCTGACCCTCCCTGGTTGCTGCCAGGATCCAGGACCCAAAGACCCTCGGCCCAGCCGCACGTCCCCCAATATTGCTGGTTCTGCATGAAGCACCGTCCCTCCCTCTGCCCTGGCCCCTTCCCCACCATGGACTGGCCTGAAGATCCTGCCCCTCCATGCCTCCTTGGGGCCCGCTTCCTGCCTGGGGCATCCACCTTGGTGTGTGTGGAAACTGGGGGTACCTTTCAGCTGCTGCTCCCCCAGACAGTGTGGAGGTTCTGAGAAGGGCGGGGGTAGCACGGGGGTGAGGGTGGGGGCTGGGGATGTGATCTCATGCTCATCATTGCCATTAGGCTGCAAGGCCCTCGGAGGCCCGGGGGGCTGGCGTGGTGGGCATTCTGAGGACCTGGCCTCATCCCTTCTCAGCCTGGTGTGGCTTCCCCGGCCCCCTGGCCCCTGCCCTTCTCCTAGACGGAGATCCAGGGCAGCTCTGCTGGGAGCCCCTGTCTCCGCTGTCAGCCGGAAGGGCTGCCCCAATGCACACCCCCTCTCCTTTCTTGCTCATCACCGCTGCTTTGGGGTGGGGGGAGGGGGAGGGGCACTGGGGCTCCCAGGGCAGCTAGGTGCTGAGCTGGGGCCTCTCCCTGCAGTCTCTGATCGTCCCTGGGAAGAGCCCCACAAGGAAGAAGTCAGGCCCGTTTGGCTCCCGCCGCAGCAGCGCCATCGGCATCGAGAACATCCAGGAGGTGCAGGAGAAGAGGTGGGTGAGGCGTGGGAGGGACGCTTGCTCCCCGGCCCTTCCCTGCACCCTGTCAGTGTCACAGCAGGGCAGGCAGTGGAAAGCCCACCTCTGCCTCGTGTTCCCTTCTTGTCACACGGCACTCCTGCTGGCTCCCTTGGGGCCCACTCTTGTCCAGGGACCTTGCCCAGGTTACACAGCCAACCAGGGGCAGAGCTGGGTTGGAGCCCTGGCCTGACTGGCCGTCCTGTATCCACTGCCCACCAGACGTAAGAGTGAGTGCTGGCTTCGGACAGGCCGGGCGCAGGATGGGCTGGAGTCTGAGCCGTGCATTGGCCACTGTGTGCAGAGAGCAGCTTCCTGGGCAAGTGGCTGGACTCCTCTGAGCTTTATTATCCCAGTCTGGAGCACCGGGATAAGAAAATAGCATGTGGCTTCTGTGACGGTTTTGTTTCATGCGTGTGACACAGGGATCAGGGCATTAATAACACTCCAAGAAAGGAGCTGGCAGTGTCCTCACTGCCACCAGGTCTCAGAATGCCGTATCTTCTGAGTTTAAGTCTTGGCACTGCCCTGTCCTAGCTGGGTGGCCTGAGCAGGTCCCTTCCCATCTGAGCCCCAGTCTCATTATCTGTCACAGGTGTCACACGTAGGACCAGGGAGGGATCCTGGTTCCATCCTTGTAGCTCCCTTACTGCCTGCCTGCTCATTGGCCAGGTTGGCTGAGGAGCCCCAGGGACAGCAGCAGGCTGACCCCTGAGTGTACAAGGTGTCTGTGACTTCCCTCACTGCCTGCGCCTCAGTCTACCCCAGTGCCAGGCCCTGTGCTGAATCCCCTCGCTGCCCCTGTGTGCCCCGCAGGGAGAGCCCTCCAGCTGGCCAGAAGACCCCGGACAGCGGGCACGTTTCGCAGGAGCCCAAGTCGGAGAACTCATCCACTCAGAGCTCCCCAGAGATGCCCACAGCCAAGAACAGGTTGGGCTTGTGGCTCGCTGAACCAGGGCTTGGGAGTGGCGGGCTCATGCTTCCCATCCCCTGGGCCCGGCTGCCCAGGAACCTTGGCACTGCCTCAGGAGGGCATGGGGAGGCAGGGCATCCTCTCAGTTCCTCCGTGGACACTCTCCTGCCAAGGTCTGGCATGTGGTGGTGAGCTGTGCGCACGCAGTCCCCGCTCGTGGGTGGCCGGTATGCCGTTTCTAGATTGCTGGATAGGAGGGAAATAGAGCCACAGGCTGCAGTGAGGCATGACCGGGGACAGTTGTACTGCGGGTGGGTCTGCAGGGATGGTAACATTTGAACTGAGAGCCGAGCAAGGAGTCAGCCCTGCTGGGACTGGCCTGGCAGAGAGAAGAGGGTTCCAGGTCAGGAGGCCAGCAAGGGCGGAGTCCTGAGAATGGAAAGTGGGGAGCATGCGGTGGAGCCAAGAAAGCCAGCGGGTGCAGGCATGAGAGGCGAACAGGGATGGCCCGGCGCCTCGGAGGCTGCATGAGAGCTTTTGAGTTTTATCCTAAGGGAGACAAGGAGGCTTTGGGAGATTTTTTTTTTTTTTCTTTCTGTGCTGGAAATTGAGCCAGGGGCTCATGCATGCTACCACCGAGCTGCATCCCCAGCCCGTACCTGCTTGGAGACACAGCCTCACGCCGTTGCCCAGGATGGCCTCAAGCTCCTGCCTCTGCCTCTGGAGTAGCTGGGGTTACAGGCAGCCCTGTGGGAGTCTGAATGAGGAGAAGGCACAGCCAGTGTGGCCGTGGGTGGTGTTGTGCAGGGAGGGCGCGGGGCGCGGGCGGAGGCGGAGTCGGAGGGGGCCGCCTCTCCCTCGGCCCACGTTGGTTGAGGCCTCTCTGGGTTGGGCTCGGGAGGACCGAGAGGACTCAGCTTGGGCTGGAGAATCTGGTGAGCGGAGAGGCAGCAAGGGGTAGGCGACGGGCCTGGGCAGGACCTAGAAGTGCTGGATGTTTGAAAGACAGATTGCTCTTTGGGATCTGAAAGGAGTGAGACTCCAGGCAGGAGACAAAGTCTATGTGGAGAAGGGTTAAGGAAGTAGGTTGTGGGCTATCTCTGTTCTCCCACCTACGGCCAAGTGACCCTGGGCCGTGCGCCCACCCTCTCGTGTCTTGACGTCTCCTCCTCTGTAAGAAGGGTCGTAAAGTGACAGCCACGAGCTAACTCAGGTGAGTGCTTAGCGCAGCGCTGGGTGCCGAACGCTGAGCCAGGGAAGCTGTGAGAGGGTGCTGAGCAGGGGCAGGACCTGGGAAGGACGTGGGAGTCCCGGGTGCTCAGAGGCCCGAGGAGCTGTGCTGAGGCTGTGAGGGTGCCCACTGGCCACGGGCCGGGCCCCCTGGGCAGGGAGCGCGGGAGCAGGGCCTGGCCGGGGCCGCTGCGGGTGCACGCTGGCTAACGGGGCGCCGTCTGTGGCAGAGCGGAGACAGCAGCCCAGAGAGCAGAGGTGCTGAAGGACTTTTCCCGCTCCTCGTCCAGTGCCAGCAGTTTCGCCAGTGTGGTGGAGGAGACGGAGGGCGTGGACGGGGAGGACACAGGCCTGGTGAGACACCCAAGGGGCCGGGTGTACCTCAGCGGCCTAGAGCGGGGCCCTTGGGTCCCTGGAGAGGCTCTGGCCGGAAGTACAAGCCTGGCTGAGGCTAAGGTGTGATGAGGGGACCCAGGTCAGAGAAGTGGCGCGGACTGACTCTCCCTGCTCTGGTCCCTCCGTGGCGCCACCGTGCTGTCCAGAAAGCCCAGTCTCGGGACTGTGAAGACCTCCGAGCCTGTCTGGAACGCCCTTCCCGCCCCTCCTGCCCCTCTGCCTGGCCGCGCTGCCCTTTCTTCTGGCCAGGTTTCCCTCTGCCTCCTGAAAGCTGTCCTTGACTGTCCGGCCCAGGAGAGTTAGTGACCCTGCTTTATACTCTCACAGACCCCTGGACTTTGCCCTCGGTGCCCTTGGTCATTTTTCGTTCAGCAGACCTTCCGTTTTCACCTGCTCCTTGCCCAGCTCATTACCGGCCCTGCAGGGAATGGGGCAGGCCGTGACCCTGCATGCTGGCCTTCTGGATGGGCATCTCGGCCCCGCCGGCCTCCTAGACTTCAGGCTCCCTGAGGGCAGGGCCTGGCCTGACCTATCCCAGGGGCCTAGCCTGGGAGGGCATCTGTGGATACGTTGCGTGATCTGCCTCGAGCGTGGCAGACTTTGGGGGCAGTGAGGGGGGCTAACCTCTCTGCCTCCCCAGGAGAGCGTGTCATCGTCAGGGACGCCCCACAAGCGGGACTCCTTCCTCTACAGCACATGGCTGGAGGACAGTGTCAGCACCACCAGCGGTGGCAGCTCCCCAGGTAGGGCATTGGCCTCCTGCAGAGGGCAGGGTGACCTCGAGGGTAGGGCTGAGTTCAGGGACCGGGTCTCGTGTCCAGTGGCGGTGGTGGGGTGTGGCTGCCCCTGCCATGGGGGACAGTGGTGGGTCGTGGTCTTGGGTAGATTGGAGGACTGGTGGCTTCTGGGAGTCTCAGAAAGGGTGGCAAGGAGGTGCATTAGAGTGGGGATCCCTAAAGAGGGACCAGGAGGGCCTGGGGAGCACCTGTGCCAACTGCCCATCCATGCCGTCTCCCTGGTGCCTCCCCCTGGCAAGTGAGGTGGCTCCCTCCTGCCCCCCTCCCCAGGCCTCTCCCGGTCACCCCACCCAGACGCCGGCAAGGTGGGGGACCCTGCGTGTCCCGAGATCAAGATCCAACTGGAGTCGTCTGAGCCACACACTCCCCAGCTGGTACGAGCACCCCCGGGGGTGGGGGTGGGGACGACACACCACACTGGGGGGCTGGCTGTTGGGAGGGTGTTGAGGGACCCGGAGGGTAGGGGTTCCCTTGGCCAGGACGGCCAGGGCACAGCCGTGACTTGTGCTTCCCTGTGTCTCCTCCGCCTTGCCGCCTGCCTTGTGGCGCCGCCGTCCTCACAGGGCTGTTAGCCGGCCACCCGGGAAGTGGAGCTGAGCAGGTCAGCCTGGGCCCCCGTGCTGGTGTGCAGGTTGGGAGAGTGGCGGGAGGGCGGGCCTGGGTGGAGCGCGTCCTCCGCCTCTCTGCAGTGGGGGACTGAGGCTGGTGCCACCCCCTGGGCTGCGCTCCTCCCCTGTGTGGTGGGGCGGATGAACACTGCCTCACCTCTACCCAAGAGCTGTTGGGAGGGTGTGACGGAACCTGGAGGGAGCTCGGTGTCCGCTGAGTGGGGGATGGAAACACCTAGAGCCCGGGGACCCTGGCAGCAGCCTGCGCTTCACGGTGTCTGCACGCGCCCCCGACCCCTGTCCCTGCAGATGAGGCCACAGAAGCACAAGGTGAAGAGGCTGTGTCACATCCAGGCAGCCAGGACCTCCGCCCTGAAGGCCAACCCCAGCCTGGCGTCCCCTGCTTCCCACTTCCCCTCGGCCCACTCCGCAGGGCGGAGCCTCCCAGACCTGGGGCCGGGAAGCTGCTGGCATCGTCCCCACGGCCCAGGCTGGGGGTCTGGCCTCGGCCGGGGAAGGGTCGGCGGAAGCAGGACTGCAGGCCTGGCTTGCCCCACCCTGGGTCTCCATCACCCCAGCTGCCCCTCTGGATCAGGGGAGCAAGGTGGGCGAGGGAGGCCAGAGCTCCACGGGCAGCGCTGACTGTGGAGGTGGGGGGGGTGAGGGCGTGGAGCGAGCACTGGGCCGGCGTCCCGGCTTCTGATTCAGGTTCTGCTGTGTGGCTCTGAGCAAGTCCCTCTCCTCTGGTTGTTTCTGCCACAAGTGGACAGGATTCTTTCAGAGGTCACTGGAGACCGTGATTCTGTGCACCTGGCCCACACAGGGGATTGTGCCCCTGGGGCTTCCCATCTCACTGCCCTGCTTCTTGAGGTCCCCGAAGCCCCAGGTGGGCTGAGGGCCTGGGAGCTGGTTGTGCCCACTGCCCCACCTGGACCCCGGAGCTTCACCACAGATCTGCCAATGCCCTTCCACTGCCTACACGTGACAGACCGGTGACCTCTCCTGGAGGAAGGGGACCCACCTGGCTCCTCAGCCAGCGCCCAGCTTAACCCCTGCACCTGCCGCTCCTGGGCACTCTGGGCCGAGGGGTCTCCACCCGCCTGGAGTCGCAGGCCTCTCCAGCCCCGACGCTGGAGGGGCAGCCAGGCACAGCTGCTGTGCGCCCACGTCCTTGTGTGTGTCTGTCCACACTTTTTAGGCGCCATGCCAAAGGCCAGCCTTCTGGCCCCACCCCCACTTTGGAAGCCCCGTGGCCACGTGTATGTCGGTAACAGTTGTACAAAATAAATTCTATTTATCGCTATTGTATCCGGAGTTGGGCTGGCTCTGTGTGCATGCCACCCTGACTGGCTACAGAGAGATGCCCAGATGCAGACACAAGTCTGCCCCTGTCAGAGCTGCTGGGCTTGGGGACACCTTCAAGGTCAAGCCGCAGGGTCTGTGACCACTGGCCATGGCTTCCTCCCTGGGCGCTGCCCTGCCTTCCTCTCTGTTCCCTTCCCCACAGCCAGGAGAGCATGGCTTCTGAGACGGGCAGGCCTTGAAGTCCTGGCACCGTCTCTTAGCAGAGTGGTTTTGAGAAATTTAGCTTCTCTGATCCTGTTTCCATTTCTGTAAAAGTAGGGGCAATGGGGCCTCTCCTGGGGTTTGTTATGCGGGTCCCATGAACTTGTGCGTACAAACATCTAGCACGTGGCCTCTGGCACACAGTAGGTGCCCAATTAATGATGCCTCTTTTCTCATGGGCAGTGTATCCCAAGAATTTCCCTCATGTGGCCACCAGGGGGCACCAAGAGATCGCTAATCAGATGGCAAGGGCGTTGGGTTTGAGTGGGGCAAAGTTGCAGCCTGAGAAGACCAGGGTAGGTGGCTCAGTAGACTACAGCGTGAGGGGCAGCTGTCAGTGTGCAGGGCAGGCCTGGGGGGGCGGTGTGGGGAAAAGCATCCCTCGGGGAGGGAGCCGCACGTGGGAATTGTAGAGGGCAGGGTATCCTGGCATCGGAATGGCAGGATGATGAGGCCGGAGGGCGAGGGCTTTCTTCCAGGGCCGGCAGTGGAGCACCCTAGCGAGAGGCAGTGGTTATGGCTTGAGGCTGGCATGGAGGCCGCAGGGCAGCAGGGTGGAGAAGCTGCTGCTGGGGACAGGGTGGCCAGGTGCATGGGGTGCTGGGAGGCAGGAGCGATTGGACGGGTCAGGCCTGAGGGGCTTGGAGCTGAGAGGGGGTCACAGAGACCCCCAGGGCCCAGCCTGGGTGTGGGGTGGGACCACAGGGAGAGCAGTTGGGGGACACTGGCCTTGTGGTGAGCGCTGAGCAGAGCCCTGGGGGGGTCAGCCATGCTCCCGTTCTCCCACCCCCTGCCCAGGGGGAGGCTGGGTCACGCTGGCCGTTCTGGGGAGTGCATGGCTTTCCTGACAGGGTCCTTCCATGACCCTCAGACGCCTCAGGCCACCCAAGGGCTGTGACTCACCCCGCATCCAACCTCGCCTGGCTGGGTTTGGCTCCTGGCTGCCTGGGCTCGGGGTCCCTCCTGCTCCCGCCTGCTCCCCACCAGGTCTGACCCTCAGCGCCCCTCGGGCCTTGGCTCCACAGCACTCTTGGCTCCCGCGGCCTTTTGCGCTGTCCACCCCTAAGAGCGCCGGGAGCCACAGCGCCCGCTTGGAGCTCCCAGGAGGCAGCTCCCGGTTCCTTTCCCGGATCTTGCCGCTCTGGGCCTCATTTCCGGTGCGTGCCGCAGGACGCTCACCGTCCCGCCCTCGCAGGTACCTGATGTGGACTGTCAAGGTTGTGGAGCGGCGGGGGTGGGTGTTGGGGCAGGGGTGCGGGCGATCGGCCCTTAGCAAGGATTGGATCAGCAAATCTTCAGGGAAGGAGGGGTCAGCACAGCGCGTGGAGACACCAAAACCCGCAGGCCCAGCACAGACGTTCAGCCTGTAGGTCCTGAGCCTCAGCAGCGCGGATGGGGGTGACAGTCTCCTCATGCGCCCTCGCTGCTCCGTCCCCGAGCTGACAGTCAGCAGTGGCCCCCGTGGCGGCAGACGCAGGTGGGAAGCCTGGTGAGCTGTGCGCCTGCCCGCCTGCACAGGGGACAGCCCCTGGTCCAGCCCAGATCCCCACCCCAGGCCCCAAAGTAGGGCCAGGGGATCCTGAGGACGGACTGGCCTCTGGGATCAAAGTGTCCGGTGATGTTTCTCTTGCACCTGCGCCAGCTCTGCACCCGCCCTGGGTTCTGAGGTGGGGAGGGCAAGCCGGGACATTGACCCAAGGCTGGAATTAGGGCCTGGACGGAGGGCACTGGGCTCCGGGAAGCACTGGGCTCTGTTAGAAATAACCCTGGTGGTGGAAAAAGTAGCCAGACCTTTCTCCGGATGCAGACGCAGGAGGGAAGAGGCCTCTTCCATGGGGGGCAGGGCACACCCAGCATCTCCCTCTGCTCACCTCCTGCAGCGACCTCCCTGTCTCTGCAGCACCTGCAAAACAGGACAGGGCCTGACCTGGGGCCACCAACAGGTTGTCATGTCTCTGAGGTGGCTTGCATGGTGTCTAGCACAGAACCCATGCCCCAGCAAGGGTCTCCCTCACCCCCTCAGCCAGGGTGTCCCTGGACGCCCTTGTCCAACACCATGACGACTTTGCCAAGGAGAAGGCTGCAGGCCCATTATGGCCCAGGGCCAGGGGCTGGGACCTGGACCTTCTCTGCCGCTTAGGCCACAGGGGTGGCTCAGCCAGGGACCCTGGAATGTGGAGGTCCCTCCCTCCTTCCTGCCCCTGCCCTACCAAGGGGACAGGCTGGGACAGAGCCTTCTGAAGTAACCAGATCTGGTTAGCAAGGCTAATTTTAAAAGCCACTCTGGCTGCCCCATGGGCCCTTCTGGGAAGCCATGAATGTCGCTGTGTGTGCTCCTGGGAGGGGCTCCGAGTCGACTCCCACTTTTGTGTACAGTGCTGGAGACCCCAAGCTGCCCCCCAGGGCTGCCAGGCTGGGGCCCTATGATGGGGGTCAGGAGGCCCGGGCTTCCTTCTGCCCCAGTCCACAGAGGCCAGCCCTGGGGGCTTTTGGGACCCTCCCTTGCTGCCCCGCTGTCCCTCGGAGGCTCTGGGCTGGGCCTGTTTTCACCTTCTCAGTCTGTGTCCCTTTGCCTCCGAGCCCCTGCTTTGCTCTGATGCCCCGACCCCGAGTCTCAGTAGCTCTGCCCCTCGAGAGAGCCCATCCCCTAGGAAGCCAGATGTATGTGCCAGGCAAGTGGGGTCCATCTGGGAGCAACGGTTGCAGGTGGGGGCCGGGGAGAGGGCAGCAGCATGGGGCCAGCAGGAGCTGTACCTGGGCGGGAAGGGGCCAGGTCCGGGCACGACCCGGGCCATCTGGCCAGGCCAGGTGCCAGCAGGAGGGATGCGCTCCAGGCACACGGTTGCCAGACCTAGCAAATAGAAACACCTGGTACCCAGTTAAATTTGAATGTCAGACAAACAAGGAATAATTTTTAGTTTAAGTATACCTCATGCAGTATTTGAGGCATACTTATAGTAAAAAATTATTCCTTGTTTGTCTGACATTCAAATTGAACTGGGCGTCCTGTGTTTTGCCTGGCACCCCGTCCAGGGAGGCTGCAGGAATGAGGGGAGGTTTCTCAGGGACAAGAAGTCTATAGACCAGTCTGAGGAGGGGAGTCCCAGTATGGTGGGTGAGACAGCTCCTGCCCTCAGGCTTCCAGGGTTGGGGACAGTCCTTGGGAGCTAGTGGGGGGCACATGACACTAAGCATAGTTGCCTTCTCGGGGAGCCACACACAGCCAAAGGGAGGGACTGTGTGTGCTCTGCTGAGTCTCAGGACTGACACATGTTAAGGGCTCCATATGTGTTTGCTGAATGAATAAGAATCCTTTCAACCCATCCCATGGGGCTGGGGCACATGGCCAGCAGGGGGCTCCAGCAGCCTATCTGCCAAGCTTCTGGGAGCCCACTGGAGGCTGTACTGTCCCCTCCCCCTGGCTCCCCAAAGTGGGCTGTAGGGGGATGGAGAGGGGCAGAGGGTAGAGGGAGGAGGCTCCTCTTTCTCTATCCCAGCCCCGCCCCCAGGCCCATGTTGGAGTTCAGCCCTGGACAAGGGTATACAGGACTAACTAGGGCGGATGGCCTCTGGCTTCTGGGCAATAGTTGAGGCTAAGGTGGAGGGCCAGGCTGAGGAGGTCCTGCCCACTGCTCCCTGCGGGGGTGTCCGGACAAGCCAGGGGATTCCTGTAGCCCAGGAAGTGGGGGTTCTTGCTCCTGGGAAGGTAGGATTTGTTTTTTGTGTTTTTTGGGGTTTTTTTTTGGTTTTCTTCCGGTACCAGGAATCGAACTCATGACCTTGGACTTGCCAGGCAGGCGCTTTGCCACTGAGCTAAATCCCCAGCCCCTGGATTTGGACTTTTCTATTGTGGCCCATTAATCTCAGACTTGTGGTTCTTTTATCTCCCTCAGGGTAGAGTGACTTAAACACAGCCTTTTTATTCACTCACTCACTCATCCACGCATCCATCCATCCATCCGTCCATTCATTCATTCATGGCTTGCTCACTGGGTGGCCTCATTCACTCACTACTCCTGAGAAATGCTCCCTCGACTCCCTGCCTGGGCTTCCCGATAAAGGGTCTTAGCAACTCATCCAACCCCACCAGGAAGACTTGGGCTGAGGCCAGCCCTGCCGCTGGTCCCTGCACCCTTGGACAAGCTCTACTAGGTTCAGAGCCTCCGTCTCCCCATCTGTAAAGTGGTGCATCTCCCTCCCAGGGTTCCGTGGGGACGCGTGAGATGCCTGCCTGAAGGGGCTGTTGCCACTGCTAGCTGTTGTTATCATCAGTTCCAGGCACCGGGGTGGCAGGCAGGGGCCGCCGCCGGCTCCATGGCCGTGTCCTCTGAGCCTCTCAGGGCGGCCTGCTTCCTCCCGGGGCTGCACTATCTCAGCCCCAGCCCTCCTTTTCAGGGCAGGTTGGCTCCTTCTAGGTCCTCCTTGTCCTCCATGCGGCAGTGACACCTTGGAGAGAGGCAGAGGCAGAGATGAGTTAGGGGCAGCCCTCCTCACCTGCACTGCGAGCCGGAGCCTGGCCCTTCCTGCTCCGGCCCCCGTTTCCCCAGCGTGCAGCAAGGGGGCTGGGCCGGACACCCCACTGCGGCCTGGTCGGGCCTCTGTGTCATCCTGTTAGTAACGCTTTAGTGCGGAGCCTATAATCATATCTGTCCTGGGAAGAACTAACCCAGCGTTTCTTTAAATTGGGCTCTAATTGTGGCTTTTAGTGGAGTCAAATGCGGCCCCCATCCCCCAGCTGGTGT